GAACCGAACTCCAAATGATTGATCTCTCGTACTCTTACGCTTTACCCTCAAAAGATTCCACACATATCTCCATATCCTTAACACTTATATACGACACACTAATTGGGTTTAAGTAATTCAATAGAGTAAATATGTATGATGAATCTCTGTTTTGTGAGGGGGGGGTTTCTAAGCCAAGGCAGGGATGCTGCAGTTTCTACTGTCCCTGTCGAGGCAATCGAATCCTTCGATCCTAACCGCTGGGCTGTTACCAAAATTGCCTCTAACGCATCCTCCTTTCCTCCCTGAGGAAGAAGGGGATGACGGAGGTAAGCCCAGCGGTGTCGGGATCGGCGAAGAGACAAGTGTGATTTCATCTCTGAATCGAGCATCCTGTGTTAATGGGTTAGAAACTCTGCTCGGCGGCGACCCACATAAAAACGGGGACCGCGAGTCTAATACCTGCTTATGAACTTGTTCACCACCACCACCATAACCATCCTCCTGTAGTAACCACAACAAACACAAATCACATGAACCATTAAAGTCTACTCAAAATGATCATGTGGCTCAATTGGCCCACTTTATGTGCTGTAAGGATTTAAGTGGAGACGTCTTAATCTCTGAAATTTTCTGTGTTTTTAAAAAAAAGAAGTTTTGACAAGTCTATCAAACACAACGAAGATTACATGTTTTTTTAAATCAAGAATCGTACACGATTACTCTCTTTTTTTGTTTGTTCATTTTATAAATTAAACAATAATAAGAGAAACCGACTTTCTACTGATTTATTTGGTTTATTGATTGAGATCTACCAAAACGTAACCAGTTTGATAAACAAATTTCACCTACCAAGAACTCAAGAAAAACATCTAATATCATAAAGAAGATGAATAAAAATTTACCTTGGTGAGTATGATATCTAAGATATCAGTCTCTGCCTTAGATTCACATAACTCCACTTGGTGGCTACAAATCAAATACAATTCAAAATTCAGTCAAATTCAATGATTTTGTGGATTTAAATAGGAAAAAGTTGTTTTGATACCTGAAGTAACATCGCAGAGAGCGAGAAGGATGGTGTTGTTGTTCGTAGATGGTTGTAGGGTTACGGAGACCAATACGACGTGGTTTTGGGCAAACAACAGTCTGATCTCTTTCAACTACTGATGATGATGATACAACGGAGCTTCTCAAATCTCCACCGGCTACGAAAGCGTTTGGTTGAACCGCCCAGTGATTCATCTTTCGTTTCGAGACCCAAATAAACAAAAATCTAATCAAAATCTTTTAACCTGTTCATCAATTTGTAAAATGGAGATTAGTCTCAGATCTGAGTATTCTGGAAAAAATATATTCTCAAATCTAATCTGAAGAAACAGATCCGTAGATTTCTCGGAGAAATAAAAAAAGCAGAACAAATATTCGAATTCTCTAGAACACGAAATCTACAGATCTAAAAGACGTAATTAGATAAACAGAGATTACATGAACAAGGATCTACACTAACGATAACAGAATCGCCGATCTTGAGAACAGAGAGAGAAGGAGATGGTTAACCTGAAGCTTTAACTGTACAGCTTGGTTCGTAAGGTGGAGCTATGGCGATAAGAGTT